AAAATGACGTTGTTTTAACTCCTATAAAATATTAAATTTAGACCAAAATGATGTCGTTTTAAAAAATATTTTCTTTTTCATTCATTTTTCTTCCCTTCTTTTCCCCTTTTATTTCTCTTATTTCTTTCTCTCCCTCTTTTGAAATTATCCATATTTTTACCATCACGTTGTCTATTGTTTTGACCAGAGTCAGTCATTACCATCGACTATTGATTAGTCTCATTTTTCATCAAACTTATTTTGTCCTCCTAGATACGAATCTAATATCTATGTAACCGAAAACACTAAATTCATAAGTCTAACGTTATTTCACTATAAATGTAACACCCTAAATTTTGAGTCAGTAGTTTTGAGTTAAACCAAGAGGATTTTAGATAAACCCATTAAACTTGTATAAAATCTTAGTCCAAAAGTGAATTGGATTTGGGCTTGGATTGAGCCCAAATAGGTTTTTAGGAATTGATAAATTAAGGTTTTTAGGAATAGAGGGTCTTTAAAAAGGAGAGTTCACAATCGTTCACTGTGGAAGAATACCTCGCATGACAAAGTAGTGTCAGGTCAGTCGGGTTAACGCGTCATATAATAATTTTATTTCCTCAATAACAACTATTAACAATAAGTGATCGATTTGTTATAAATCAATAACGTTAGTGATTGATTGTGAGTTTTGAATCATCAATTAAGAAACAAAATAAAATTAATCAAACATTGGCTATCATTTATGTAGTTTACCCTTTTTAAAGAATTTTAACCATCATTGTTTAAGTTATGAGTCAAAAAGTCTTTTTTTAATGAAAATCATTACTTAACTAATAAATAATATTTATTACTGACGTGATATTTTACATGTACTAAATTATTTGTGTCATGTCACTAAAAGTGACTGAAATATATCTTTTTCAAAATTCAATGGTCAAAATCAGACAAATTTAAATAAAAATAACTTCTTTAATAATTATCTAATAAAAATAAAGGTATAATATCAAAATCCACTTTTTAATACCTACATGAATAGTAACTTTGTCCTCTATTTTTTTTTAAACATTTTAACTCATAATATTTTAATTTTAGTAGATACCATTTTTTATATAAAAAATATTAGTCGATTAATCACTAATATTTATTATTGATGTGATATTTTTACATAAATTATATATATATCATATTAATTGTTAAGTATATAGAAATATTACTCCATCAACCGATGTTCATTGTTAATTAACTAATAATTTATATAAAAATATCATTTTAAAAACTAAAATATTAAAAGTTAAAATACTTTTTTAAAATATATAGACAAAATAATTATTTTATTAATTTGATATCATATGTAAAATAAAAATATTTTATTTATTATTTTTACAATTCACGCAAATCCACTCATAAATTTTAGCTGACCCTTATTCCCATATGTAATAGGGTAAGGGGGAGGTATGATAGTAGGCTGCCCCCAACGCTAGATTAAGAGCAGTTTCCGTGGGAGACCTTCGAATTATGAATTGCCCACCGTGAAACTTGATCCTACGACCACTCATAAAATGCATGCTAAAACTTTCTCTTACCCATCAAAATCTTCATCTTTTTTTCCCTTCTTTCACATTTCTTCTTAATCGCCATCATCTTTGATATTACATTTTAACCATTACCCCTTCAAATTCATTATGATGTACAACCCAATTGCATGCTAATAAGATCAGGTTTTTTGTCCACTTAGATCAACCCAAAAATTAATCTTTTAATCTGCTTTCGATTCAAACGAGTTTAGAAAAATCCTACCTAAATGTATAATTATTTTTATTAGATGAAATAAGGGTCTATTTGAAAAAAATAGAAATTGATATTATTACAATTCTCTCTCTATTATAATATTATATCGAGTGAGGTTGTATTCAGTTTTTATCCTAAACAAAGTCTCGGCCCGAACTGAATCCATCTTATTTATTTTATTTGAATTTGAAAAATCAAAATAAAAAATCGACTCGACCAAATCGAGTCAAATAGAAACTTATCAAATATGGATGAAACAGTCATCCCTGCATGTTTCCCACAACTCTATGAAAGCCCCTCGAGGTGATAAGTTTAAATAAAAAAATATTTTTTAATTAGAACTCATTATCTCGACGTGTCGAGGTCCATAAACATTGAAAAAAATGTTGTAGGTTCTACTTACCTTATTTTCCCTAGGAAAATAAAACCCTAACTTACGCTCTATGCACATACATAGGTTAAATGGGTTTGGGCTTAAAATGTAGTGGTGGAATTACACTTGCATGATGAGACTCCAAATGGACCGTCGATAACTTGATGCTGCCCTGTGTGTCTGCCCCTTGCGGCTGCAATTCTTCTGAAATTGGATCTGCACAAAGTTGGAAGCAAAAAGCAATTGACAAAGGGTCAACAAGGCAGCAAAGTTGGTGAATGGTCCACAGTCAATCAACTAAAATTTCATCTTCTTTTCATATAGTCAACCCCCATAAAGGTAACGCTTTTTTGTCATCATCTCAAGGTAGAGATAAACAGTCGATTAAATTATAACGAATGGTCACTCTCAGCCCTGCAAATATGAAAGGAGTGCATTCAGATTTACGATTTCTCCAATGCCTCTTGATTGTTCGGGTTGAATTTAGAAAAATGGGGATGCGGCCATTTAATCTGGGAAAAGTGTAAGTGGTCCAGAAAGCAAAGAATTTTGAAAAAAATTATCAGTGTTTTGTTTGCAAGAATCTTTGCAGGGTTTTTGTTCCCTTTCTTCTCCGGGATGGACCAGAACACATCTCCATCTTTGGACTCACTCGATCAGGGATTTGGATTTTTTTTTTGTTAACAACAATATTCCGATTCTGAAAGTTACAAGCAGTTGATCCTTTTGATTTGAACAGAGAATCGTAGTAAGTAATTCATAGTAAAGTTAGAAACATATCCAAAAAGGAGGAATCATAATTACATCTAATTAATGATGGTTAAGGAGTCTCAAGAAAAATGTAAGGTCTATGATCATAATTGTTACTCATAGGTTGTTAGATTAAATAAATATAACTGTCTAACAGTAGATTTTAGATCATCTCCAGCCCTTATCTCTACTCTAGAGCATCTCTATCTTTACTCTAGAGATGAAACAATAATTCATCTCCAGCGCTATCTCTACATTACCATCAATTTTACTTTATTCATAATATTTAACTATTATAATATTAATTTTACAAATATAAAAAAATCAGAAAAAATAGAAAAAAATCCAAAAAAATTACAAAAATATTAGTATGATTACTTATCTAATTTTAATATATTTTTATCTATTTTATAATTTAATATACTTTAATTTAAAAAAAACAAATGTAGCGTTAGCTACAGTACCGCGCTAGATGTGGCGCGGTACTGTAGCAATCCTTCACTGTAGTGTAAGATGTGGCGCAGGGCTGGAGCTGTTTTTTTCTCCACACTGGAGATATTGCTGAAATGTGGCGCAACATTGGAGATGGTCTTAGCCTGACGAATCATGTGAGATCCTATCAAATGTTGCCGTTGATATAATTCTCCCAACGATTCGATTATAGAAGTTTTTCTAAAGATTCTGATTGTAAAAGGAGTACAAACGAAGAGTCTAAAGAGGAAATCCCTTATTATGATATTAGTGTTGGTATAAATAATGGTAGATCCAAAAATATTTTCGAATGTGTATTTATATATATAACATAAATTTTTTATACGATAGACATAAATCAAATATACTTTCATTTAAATATATTTTCATTTTATAAAGATATACGTTAAAATCTACCTATTTCATTTAAATATACTTTCATTTTATAAAGATATATTTTTAAGTTTTTGCTTAGAGCCCCGAAAATATCGGGGACGACCCTGCTTGTGGTAAGAACATTTGGAGGAAATATAATAAGTTTGCATTTAAACACATCATAATTGATGAAGTCAATGTGCAAGAAAGATTCTTGCGGATGAAAACAAAAGCCCAAAAGGAAAACGATCAACCTGTATTATACTATACAATTGATTGTGATGGAAACTTCGAGGGTTTGGAATTCAACAAATACGCATTGTTTTGTTGTACCAACAACATTATTTGTGTGATTTAGTGTTTGACTCTGCAATTATACGCCTGAATGTGAGGAAATGCACTTCTAAATTAAAACTTCAATTAATGAAGAACGCCGGCCAAGGTGATCCTTTCAATTTCACATTATTTTGACCATTTCATTCCTAGGAGATTGTGACCCTAAACTTATAGTTATTTGAATCCTTCATTCAAAATTAATAATAAAGTAAATTGAATACAAATAAATATCCAAATTTGTATTATCTAATGCGGTTTTTCACAGGGTTCAAATTCTCTTATCTCTGTTTAAGAAGTCGTGAACTCAGTGATAGCATGAAATGTTATTTTTCCTAGAGGTCTCACATTCGAGAAATTGCGTTTACATGGTGTATATTCATTATTAATTGACAAATAATAGTAAGATTTTAACTATAATAGTTTTTGTTTTTCATTATGGAATATGTTGTTTTCTGGTCCATGGGGCAGCCCATGAAATCCCATAGTCACCCTTCTGGCTGGCTTTATAAGCCTAATTCCACATCTCTAATTTTTCAAAGATTTTTAACTTTCCTTGTGCTTGTAATTTTCCCTAGAAAGAAGAAGTATGGAGGAAAATGAAAAGCTCCCACGGAAGAAAGCAAACACAAGCTCTCACATGGTATGAAACTTCTCATAAACCTTTTCTTTTTCCTTTTCTCTTCTCTCTGCCCTCTCATCACTTCTTCTCATCCTTACAATATATATATATATATATATATATATATATATATATATATATATATATATATATATATATATATATATATATATATATGCATGCAGATGGAATTATTACGATGAAGGCCGAGCAAGTACTATCAAAGAATGATGCCACCGATGAATCCCGATATGGTGTCGATAGTTTCATAGACGACTCTTTTTCATCTTAATTGGGTGCTATCCTACCTGAGCTTTATTTTTTTTCTTTTGTTTTTTTAATTTATTTATTTTTATAAGTTTGATCTTCTTGACCTTGTAAGACCTTTTCTTGACCTTGTAAGACCCAGTCCAGCATTTATAACTCTTCTTCTCCTTCCTTGTCTATCCCTCCTGAGCTATTTCAAACTTGTTTCCTGCCGTTGACATCTAGTAAGTCACATTCGGTGCCAGATAAATTCGAAGTATAAGCGAATCATTTTACATTTGTATTGTTATAGTGTTAAAAGGTCAAATGTTGTAATGAAGGGTGTAGAAAATATGCTTTAGCAGGCACCAGTTTCGTTGTTTTATATGTTGTTGGTCCAAAGACTAAGATGTGAGATATAATAAAATTCAAAATATTCCCTCAGATATTTTGTCGTGCAACACTTTTCCTCCTCGTGACTTCTCTTTATGTGTTTTTTTTCTTTCTGTACTACCACATCTCGTTCCTCACATTTATCTGCTCTATTATTCGAATATTTCAAATCGACTAATAACATTATAAAAATAAAATAATTAAATTGTATTAAATTAAATTAAAATTGAGAATTGAAGCTAAAAAAGGAAAGAGAAAACAGGGTTAACTTCCTTAATTTGATGATATGTTTTTTATTCAGTTTCTTCTTTAATCCAAGACAAGTGGGATTGAAGTACTCAATTTGGCAAATGTAAGTCCAAAACTCATTTTGTAACATTGCTGATGACTAATAGAGTTAATGATATGTTCAGTACATATGTTTCAATAAAAACCCTATTTTGACCCTTGACTCGGTAGTTCTTCGTGGGAAAATTATATAATAAGAAACTTAAGATAAGGGCAATTTTGTAATTTGTGTACATTGTTGATGATTAATTTTTTTGAACATATATTATTTTATAGTCACCCCAAAGACCCATATTATTCAAAAAAAAAAATATCTTATAATCTTAAACTGCATAGAGGGAAGTAAAATCTTGCACGAACCAAGTAACCTCAAGGGTTAAAAGAATAATTATTATTTCTAAAAGTCACAGGTTCGAGCACTAGAGATTGCAAGGTAACGTTCATTTGTCAAATGGTTAAAAGTCTTTATAACATATATTATCACTTATAAGCATCCTAGATTAATAAAAAAAAATTAAATTTTAAATCTAAAAATAATAAGAGAATAGGAAGATAAACTTTAAACTCTTAATTTCAAATTTAAATAATTATATTAGGAAATAAAAGGAATCCAAAGTGATTTCAACCGGACACTCATCCATCTAATTCTAAACCACACAAATACATTTATGTTAGAATAACGTGTCTTTCATTCCCTCCTCTTCTAACTCTTCTTATAAATATACATATATAACTATTAGAGTAAATTACACGTTTAATACTTAAATTATCAGTTTTATTATGTTTTAATACTTAATTTTTTAATTTTTCAAAATCATACCTAAATTTTAGTTTTTGTTTCATTTTAGGACTCAATTATTAAAAACTTTGGTTTTGATTTCATTTTAGTATTCCGCCATTAAAAAAATTAGTTTTTGTTTCATTTTAGTATCCTATTTAAAATTTAACATTAAATTTTGAAAAAAATTGAAAATTTAGATACTAAAGCGGACCAAAACTGATAATTTAGGTACTAAACACGTTAAGATTTAACGGCGGTGTAATAAAATAAATTAAAACTAAACATTATGTATGCTTTTGAAAAAAATTGAAAGTTTAAGTATTAAAACAGACTGAAATTGATAATTTAGGTACTAAATGCACATTTTACCCTAAATATTATATTGTGTATGATAAGATTCTTTTAACTCTTATTGTAAATCTATATCCATAATTTATATATTATTTAAAACTATCTAAAATAAGGAATATGAAATAGTATATTAATATGATTAGAATTGCTATATAAGAAATTTTGAAAGTTTACCATTTATATCATCGAACAATATAATTATATTTAGCAATTACTTATTACTACCATATCACATATTTTTATATTATAAATTAAATATTTAAAAACTCATTATTAAAAGTAAATTTTCAATATTCAATTTATCAAACAACACTCACATGATTACAAACAAAATTAAAATATTGAATTATACTTATTTTTATTCCTATTTTATTATTATTATTATTATTATTATTATTATTATTATTATTATTATTATTATTTCACTTTTATGATATAATCAAGGTATATTTTTGTTGATCATAGATGATTCATTCCTTTTGGTTTAGACGGATAATCGTAGTCGGTTACGATGCAATGGTTGATCAGTGTTTAAGTAATTTGTCTTTATAAAGAAGTAGAAGAGGGATGAGTGAAGAAACATTTTCTAAATTTTTCTATCGGTCTTGATCTAGAAGTTTTATAGTAACCTTAGGCTGATGTAACACCCCAAATTCCGGGCTAGTAGTTTCGAATTTACTCGAGAGGTAATTAGACCTCGTGAAATTCATAAGTAAAGTCGTTGGGCTTTATTGGGTTTGGATTTGGGCTTAATTAGCATTGAAAAAGGTATTTTAAATTTTAGAAAAACAATAAAGGACTAATTGTACAATTTCCCCTTTTGCAAAGATGAGGGTTTTATATCTCATCATATTTCTCTTCTCTTCATTTTCTTCATTTTCTTCTTCTTCTTCTTCATTTCTTCTTCTTTCATCTTCTCTAAGTAGCTATAATTCCAAGGTAAGGTCTTGAACCCTTTTCTTGTTTCATTTTCGTTCTTAATCCCCCTTACAACATAGTTTTAAAGTATCAAAGCATTGGTTTATTCCTAACTAAAGAAAAGTGTGGATTTTTATCCAAACCACCAAGGAAATGATTTTGGTTAAGCAAAGAGCTTCATTTCATGATTAAATCATCAAGGCAATGTATTCCTAATTCTTTAGAGTATTACGTTTTGATAAATTTAGAGATTTTGCTAAGATTTGGTGATTTGAGTATTTTAGGGTTTGTCTTTAATTTCTCAAGTAAATCATGATTTAAGTGTTAATAACACGTTTTTATGATACCTTAAGACTCTAAACAACTTACTAAAGCTTCACAATAAATTTAGAAACCAAACCAAGTCATTTGGGATGATTTTTGAGTGATTCTCAAGCCTAAATAAATTATTTCAGGGTTTGAGCATCGATATTGATTAAATTGGGACTAAAATTAGGGATTTTAGAAGGGAGCGCACCAATACTCCGGGTAACAGTATCGATACTGAGACCCTATTTTCATAATGTAATGTATTTTTGGTACCGATGCTCATAGGAGATACTTGACCCTAGGGTATCAATATTACAAGTAGAGTATCGACATTACTCACTTGGATGGTTAGATTTGACCCGTTTAAGGCCCGCAAGAGCTAAATGCGATATGTAATAGTAAGACTTAGTCTGTGACGGACATAAATGACCAAACATACCTAGAAACACTCATAGGAGTATGTTACATCAGAAGTAACCATATTAAGCGTAATATGCCGAAGTATCTTCAATCGAGGATGTATACGGATAATGGGATTGAGGATCATTACAAGAGATATTCGATAAGCGATACAATATTTATGTCAGATTCAGTGGTAGCAAAAAATATGAGTTTCGAGAATGTCAGTGAAACCAGGAAAAGTAAGCCTCATATTTCAATTCAAGAGGTTCTAAAGGGAAGTACGATAAGATTGAAAAGAGTATCGCTTCTCATAAATGAAATCGAACCAGATATCGAGCTAGCCAGTTACACAGTTAATAAGTAAGCTTTCACATAATGTTCTAGATGAGAGAATGAGCGAGATAACAACTAGTATGACATTGACTTCACTTTAGTGAGTCCATCTATGTTAAGGTATACCCAGGTTATCTTAGTTGCCCTAGTTGGGCATTACCAGTGCGCAAGGCACTTTAATGGCTAACTAGGGTGAAAGGCCCGAACACTTGAGATGAGTGGATTAGCGATGTCAGTGTTATGTGGCATATGGGCCTTAGATATGCAAATGTAATTATATTTGTTCAGTTCAGTTGAGTAAGTTTTCAATTCACGTAAATTTTGATTCTTACCCTAGTCTATTTTGTATTCAGGGTAGGCTGGGGCGTTGCTTCGAGATTCATGTAAAATTCCTCTGACCACACCACCAGACCTATCTCATGTTTGTTTGTTTAATTCATGCATGTATAGTCCCATCAGTCTAGCATATTAGATATGTTAAAGCTTGGCTTGAAGGCTATGTGAGACCGAGCCAATGCTTCAGTTTGTGCGGGAATTATACCGATGATATGTGACGTCAGGTTCCCCTTTAATGGTCTACCTGATGGCTCTGTGAGGACCAAGAGATCATTCAATATGTTATGTGGGAACTGCACCGATGCTATGTGACATCGGGTTCCCTTAGTAACTAGGTCTGAGAGTTATGTGAGACCATATACTAGTCATGTTTGCATCCAGATGATGCATGTCATGTTTGCATTTAGATAATTCACAGTATGTTAAGTTCACATTTAGAGAATGCATAAAAGTTCATCCATTAGGGTTAGAGACCCTTTAGAGGTGTACTCATGGTGAGGCCCTTAGTAGGGGATTAAAGGAAGCGTGAGACCCCTACTTCAGTGATAGAGCAATAAAGCCTTAAGCAGGTAGCACTTGATATGTGAGACCAGATACTAGTCATGTTTGCATCCAGATGATGCATGTCATGTTTGCATTTAGATAATTCAGAGTATGTTAAGTTCACATTTAGATAATGCATAAAAGTTCATCCATTAGGGTTAGAGACCCTTTAGAGGTGTACTCATGGTGAGGCCCTTAGTAGGGGATTAAGGGAAGCGTGAGACCCCTACTTCAGTGATAGAGCAATAAAGCCTTAAGCAGGTAGCACTTGATTTAGGTCATGCATGTACCTACTGTTTAGTACCTTGTCTTCGGCATGCTTTTGTTTTTAAAATTCTTATGTTGCTCTATATTAGCGATTATACTGCTGGGCTTTGTAAGCTAGCCTTCAGATATTTTCCGTTGGTAATTCAGTAGCTTGGACAGTTCATGAAGCGTCGTCGCAGCAGGACTTTCAGCATCTCCGACAGAGTACTGTACTGTAGCTTTAGTGGGCATGTGTATTCATAGAACCTTACTCATATATTCAGTTTATTAAACTCATTGTTGTATTGTTTTGATTTTAAATTATGTGT